CCTTCCTTCCTTCCTTCCTTCCTTCCTTCCTTCCTTCCTTCCTTCCTCTCTCTCTTTCCCTCTCTCTTTCTTCTTTCCCCTAGAATCATTTCTTTACTGAGGAACGGCTTTTAGAAACCGAGGATCTGGGCACCTGGGTGTTCTCGTTGTTTCCTGAGTATCACTATTTCTAGGTCCTCTTAGGAGACAGAGTTAGGAATTGCATACATACATACAAACACATCCATAACTGATATATATATATATATATATATATTATATATATGTCACTGATATATATAATATGCCATATATATCACCACATATATACAATATATTATTATATATAACATATCTGTTTATCAACTATCTGTGCATCTTTTTTTTTTCTTTTAGAGAGAGAAAAAGAGAGCAAGAGCAGTGGGGTAGGAGGGGCAGAGTGAGACAGAGAGAAAGAATTTTAATCAGGCTCCATGCCCAGCGCAGAGTGCAACGTGGGCTTGGTATCAGACCATGAGATCATGGCCTGAGCCAAAATCAAGAGTCAGAAGCTTAACCAACTGAGCCACCCAGGCACTCCTCTCTGTGTATCATTTATCTATCTATATTTAAAACATGAATTCCACTGGCATCTATAATTCCAATTCACTACCACAGGGTTCACTCTAGCTTTCACCTTTTTGATCGATGTAACACTTTCTCAGACAGTGACAAGCTTGTCTCTCATTATCTTTAACATATATTTGAAGAGTCTCCCTGTATGTAACTAATATCTTAATTCTGCTGGTCACCTCCAGCCTGAGCCTCATTAACCCCAGATGCCTTCCTGGCTCTGGCTTCATGCAGGAAGGCCCCACTGGCCGCTTTGGTCTTGATGCCCTCCTTGACCCGTGGACCCAGGTCCTGTCAACCCCAGCCAGCCTCCTTCACTCTCACTACCTCGTTAGCTCCACAGGGTCTTGCTGTTTTCTGCCTCCTCAAAGGTAAGGAAGAGAAGATAAAGAGAGGAAAAAAGAACAGAAAGAACAGAGAGTTATTATTCTTACTATTTTTAAGAGAAAAAACCACAAAGAAGTGAAACAAAGAGAAGCATAAAAGGAAGAAATATGTCCCTGTTTCTTAGAAACAGATTCATACAGACTGAAGACCTTTGGAGGGAACAATTCAGTAACCTTTAAGAAAATGCTTTAATTTTTCTCTCAGCTTAACAGGGCAGTGATTTGAGGATGTAATTGGACAAATGTTGCTGTATATGTTAATTGCTTAAGGATGAAAATTTTCTGTAAGTTTTAGTATCCTTTCTTATTGTATATGTGTCTGTATTACACACAGTGTTACATCATGAAAGCAATACTGGTAAAATCATAACATTTTGTGCTATGAGCAAGAGCCAATTCATTTTGTTGGGTATCTTAGACATGTCAGTTAGATGTGGGGAAAAAAATTCCCTCATTTGCCAGGAAGGAGATTAAGAATGAAAGATATTTATGTGAAGTATTTTTTTTTTAATTTTTCCTGGGAAACGGACAATTACCTAAAACTTTGCTTCCCCACTGATAGAAACAAATGTCCCTTCCCAAGAAGTCGAGGAGAGCAGAACTCGAGGCTAGATGTAAGCAAAGATGTACTAACTACTTCTTTGGACTCAATGTATAGTTATCTTAAGGATCAAAACCTTACACTTTGGAAATTTGACTATTTCTGTACTGTTTGTATATTCTGTATTTTTCCCCCCTCTCTGTTCATTCTTAATATTTAGTGGTGTTTTTGTCAATATCAACCTGTGGAAATCTTGATCAAATTTAGGCTGCGGTTTAAAAGGGAGAAGGTGGCTTACTCTTCAGGGGAAATCTATGTTAGGGAGAGCAATAAGTAAAGTAAGGGCAAACGTTTCGCCCCCCCTCTTCTCATTTGGCCTTTTTGGTCTCAGGCTCGACTTTGCCCAAGTCTGGCTCAGAATCCCACGGCACTTGCGGGCTTACCTGAACACAGTACCTTGTAAATGCTCATGCTTGTTCTTTTTCTGTTTAGACTGTGAACTCTTTGAGGGCAGATGTCACCTCTGAGCTGTTCACCACCACAGTAGTGTTTGGCATGTGTGTACATATTTGCTAAATAAATGGACAGATAAGCTAAGGTGTACAATGTTAAAACGCAGGGAAAGAATGAATCACAGATGATGATTCACTTTTGAAGTGATGCTCTATTCATACCTTGGGTTGGATTAATTCTCTTTTAAAAAGAGGCCTTTTCTTGACACTTCCAACGGTGTCAACTTACATATGAAATATGCTAACAAAGGAGCCCTCTGCATCTCCTCCACTTATGTTAAATGTGACTTCTGTTGATCAGAATGACCTCTACTGAGCAAAGACAGGTATGCCCTCATTTTATTCCAGTGCTTGCTAAGTGTCCAATTGTTTATAAAATATAGATTTAAACTATATTTTCTGCAGTTATGCCAGAAATCTTTGGCTGCCCTCAAATACATACTGTCCCGAAAGATACAATACAGATTTCAAAAGCGCTGTCTCAAGCTACAACATTCCTGGAAGAGTATTACTCATAAAGTATGTGCTCATTCTTTAACAACCTGAATCTATAATGACATGAACCAGAGATAAATCAGAAATTTAATTTCCATATTAATCCAATGAATGTCTTCAATGACAACAGAGATATGCAAACATCATTTATGCCTGTTAGGGTTCTGCTAATTGTGAACAACTGCCGAGTGTTGAGCCTAAAGGGCCTACTTTCCTCATCTTCTTCTCTGACCCTTCTTCACCAATTTCAACTCTTTTTCTCCTCCTCCACCCAAATTGCCCATCCAAATGTAGCAAACTTGGGCCTTGGGAGGTTTGGAAATCTAGGGCTAATAACTAAAATATGGACAGCAGTTCTTACTCCAGCCCATGCCCAACATACTCGTGACATACAACACACCCCATGTGTTTCAGATTTATCACCTTCTTTCCATCCCCTACTTGTTGCTATTCTTTGGGGCATTCTCACCCCGATCTGGTTCATTCATCTGGACTACCATTTCAACAGTCCCCTAGTCCAATGTGCTGTTGGAACCGTGATTCAGTTTTAAGCAACAATCTCTCCTCAGTATAACTCCTTGAATACAAAAGTATGAGAAAATAAAACCTAAATATTTATTAGTTAGATGCACCAGTCAGCAGGACCTTTGTACTGCAGACCTGTTCAAAGCCACCATATTGAAGACTGCTTCTTTCTTGGAGCTTGCTCTTCCCATGGCTCCCGTGACCCAGGTTCCTCAGGTTTCCCTCCCTCAGGTCTACCACACTCTGCTTTGTGGGCTCCTCCTCATCCTGAGTTCCTCAGAGATACAGTCCAAGCACTCTTCTATTCTAACTCTGAAGCTTCTCACGAGTCAACTTCATCTATTACCATGGACTCAATTCCTCCTCTGTGCTTATGGCCTCCAAATCTCTCTTTGCTGATTTGA